CGACCGACAGAGGCCCCGAGCGAGGCGCGGACGGGGCCGCATCAGGGCCGCGGTGGCCGTCCGCTGGTTCTCGGTCGCGACGATCTCGGCGAGCGTCGCGCGGCGCGCGGTCGTCCAAAACCGTGAGGGTCGCCCTCGACGAGCTCCATGATGCCGATGCGTCCGACGGAACACAGCGATGGTGATCGGTCGATGCAAAATTGCGCGCGGACGGCCGAGCGGCGCGTCCTCGCGCGACGGCGGAGCGAGTTCGCGGCGCGCCGCAGCCGGATTCCCAGCGATTTCCAACAATTTGTTGTTGGAGCGCGTCGAACAACATACGGTGGGCGTGTCTGGGCCGCCGGTACGGTCCACGGCGTCGGCGGGCGCCGCCCTGGCCCTCGGCGCCACGGTGTCGCGCTACGGCGGAGCGAGTTCGCGGCGCGCCGCGGCCGGATTCCCAGCGATTTCCAACGATCTTTCGGCGGAGCGCGTCGATCAGCATACGGTGGGCGTGTGTGGGGCGCGGGTACGGTCCACGGCGTCGGCGGGCGCCGCTCTGGCCCCGGCGCCACGGCGTCGCGCTCGGTCCGAAACCGTTGCGGCTCGCGCCGCCGGCACCGAATTGGTGCGCGCCGCGGGTCAGCGGCGTCCATGTGAACCCCTAGGACACGGTGTGACCGCCGGTGGGCCTCCAGGGGGCGCACACATCGCAAGACTTGGCCTGTCGGAGCCTCTTCCTCAAACGCCGACACTGTCGGCGTTTCAGCTCCACCCCCGGCCAGCACGAAATAGGTGCCGTGTCCAAAAAAGGACACATCGACCCGGCGCGTCAACACGCGCGACGGTGCAGCCCGGACGTCCACTCGAGAGGACGATGTCGGAGAACGTGGAGAAGCGGCTGCAGGAGATCGATGTCGACGCCGAGGCGCTGACGCGCGAGGAGGTCGTGGCCATGGACAAGGCCCAGCTCCCTGACCCGAACACGCAGATCGAGGCCTTCATGGACGAGGCGTGGCGGCGCCAGTGCATCCGCGAGGCCTGGGAGACGCGCGAGGCGCCGAAGCGGCCCGAGCGCACCTACGCCATCCCCAACGCCATCCCCGGCGAGACCTACGAGGGCGCCGTGCGCGGCAAGTACGACTGGGCCAACGAGGCGCCGGAGTTCCGCGACGCGCCCGTCAACGACGTCGGCGCGGAGCAGGGCCACAAAAGAGAGATTCAACGTAGCTTCAACGTGAGTGTTCCGCGCGCGCGCGTTCCGGAAAAAACATCCACGCTTCGAGACCGTCCCGAGAGATGATCGCTCGTCCAAGAATCAGCCGAAACGAGTGGAAAACGGCCGAGAGAGGAGCCTTTGAAGTTGGGAATGTCGCTCTCTTTTGCTGCCCAGGCGCGGAGATCATGGACTACTCGTCGAGCGACGGCGACCGCAAGTTCTCCGTCTACATCACGCTCGAGGACATCGACCACGTGTCCTCGGAGAAGATGACGCTGACGTTGGGGGAGTCGAAGCGCGACGCCAAGTTCACCGTCGACATGCCCGACGCGGGGCAGGACAAGGGTGATTCAACGTCGCTTCAACGTGAGTGTTCCGCGCGCGTCCGTTCTAGAAAAAGCATCCACGCTTCGAGAGCGCTCCGAGAGATGATCGCTCGTCCAAAAATCAGCCGAAACGAGTGGAAACCGGCCGAGCTAGAAGCCTTTGAAGTTGGGAATTTCGCGCTCTTGTCCTGCAGGCCCGACGGCCGCCGCTTCTTCACGGCCTCGGCCGCGCTCCTCAAGCGCGAGGTCCGCAACCCGAAAATCATCCGCAAGCGCGGCAAGGACACGGTCGTCCTGAAGTTCACGAAGTGCGAGGAGCGCACCTGGGGCCCCTGCTTCGAGAACTACCACGAGATCTTCCCCGCGCCGGGCCGGACCATGGCCCAGGACATCCGCGAGCGCCTCCAAAACAAGAAGGCGTCGGCGTAAGTCACCCAGGAGGCCCGTGTTAGCGCGCGCCGACGCGGCGCGTCTGGGGGAGCGCGCCGTCGGACCGGCCGTCGACGGCGAAGTCGACGAAGCACCGCTCGCAGACGTCGTACTCCGTCGCGTGGAGCACCGTCGTCTCGCCCGACGCGCACGTGTAGACCGCGCCCCGCGGCGGCACGGGCCGGTCGCACAGGTCGCAGATCACCGACGACGTGCCCCGCGCGACGTCCGCGTGGAGCAACGTCCGCGCGACGGTCTCGAGGTCGCCGCGGTCGCCGACGTCCGGGAACTCCGTGCAGACCCGCAGGTAGCGCGCGAGGCCGTCCATGCGCAGCAGCGCGCCGCCGCAGACGCACCGCGGGCCCGCGTCGCCCGCGGCCGCGACCGCGAAGGCCGCCGCGGCGCCGTCGGTGCCGTGCGCGGCCCGCACGGCCGCGACGAGCTCCGCCTTCTCGAGGTACGCGCCGGGGTCGAGGCCCGACGCCGCCGCGAGCGCCTTTAGTCGTTTGACGCCGAGCCCCTTCAGGTACGCGCCGACGTCCGCCGCCGCGGGCCGCAATTCCCCGTGGTCCTCGCCGTAGCGCCGGAGCCGCCGCGTCATGAGCGGCGCGGCCTGGCCCGCGAGGCGGTTCACGACGGATTCCACGCGGTGCTGCGCGGCGTCGGCGTCCTCCGCGCCGGCCGCGCCGCCGCCGGCCGCGACGGAGAAGACGAGCGCGCCCTCGCCGCCCCGCGCGTCGGCGTCGAAGTCCACGTCGACGGCGACGCGGCACGTCGGGCAACTCGCCTGGCCCCTCGCATTGAACGACGACGCCAGGGCCCGGTCCCAGCAGCGGAAGCAGTAGGACACGGCGCAGGCGCAGGGCAGCGCGACGACGTCGCGCGCGTCGAGCGGCTCCATGCAGATGGCGCACTCGCTGCCGTCGTCGAACTCGGCCATGGGTCGCGGCGGCGCGCGGCGTCCGGCGCCGGGCGAGTGCGACGAGTCTGTCGAGTGGCAGCGTCGAGCGAACCGAGTCTGTCGAGTGGCAGCGTCTCCGCGCGCCGGCCTCGCCCCACCTTGAGCGGCGTCGAGCAGCACCTTCTCTATTGAGATTGGCATTGCCCTGCAGTTGCACTTCCCTACAGGCTTAGCAGCCCGCACGTGCGGCGCGATCGAAACGGGTGTGTAGCTTCGCCCCCCCTAGGAGGCGGCGGCGGGCCCCCCGAGGGCGGCGGCCTTGTCCTTGGCGACCTGGACCTCGACGGCGAGGGCGACGAGGTCCCGCTTGCGGACGTCGTCCACGGGCGCGCCGTCGCGCGCGAGGCGCTCGAGGAGCGCGTTCGTCTTCTTCTCGGCCATGGCCGCGTAGGACGCCGCCCGGTCCGGGACGTCGGCCGCCGGCACGAGCACGACGCTTTCGCCGCCCTCGCCCTCGAAGGCGACGTCCGCGGAATCGTCGGCCGCGGCGTGGTCCGCGTACGCGGCCCCGAGCGACGCGACGCAGGAGAGGAAGCGCGTCTCGTCCTCGAGGCTCAACTCGTCGTCGACGGACTCGTAGTAGTCGACGCAGGCGCTGAACTCGACGACGGCGTCGGACCAGCGCGCCTCGTCGACGTTCAGGCCCGCGAGCTGTTCCGCGCACCGCGCGGCGGCCGCGCCGTCGCCCGCGGCGAGGAAGATGGACCGCGCCTGGTCCACGAGCTTCCACGCGATCGCCGCGTCGTCCTCGTCGTCGTCGTCGTCGTCCTCGTCGTCGTCGCCGCCGTCGTCGTCGTCGTCGTCGTCGTCCGCGTCGTCGCCGCCGTCGCCGGGCTCGTCCGCGTCGCCGTCGAGCTTGCGGCGCTTCGCGCTCGGGCCGTCCGCGCTCGCCTCGGCGTCCGCCTCGCCCGCCGCCGCCGCCTCGCGGCAGGCGCCCATGAGCGCGACGCCGTACTCGTAGTAGACCGGCGCCAGCGCCGGCGCCAGCTGCTCCGCCTCGCTCTTGCCCTCCGTCGCGACGGCGAGGACCTCCGTGAGCAGCTGCACGGCCTGCTCGAAGCGGCCCGCGCGCCGCATGCGCTTGCCGGCGATGAAGCGCGGGTCGCCGGCAATGGTGGGGGTCGCGTCCATGCCTTTGACGCCTCAAGTCCTGCGAGACTTCCGTCGAGCCGTCCGTCGAGCCGAATTGAAATACAACATGCCGCTCAGGAGCCGAAAAAGACGTTTTAGTGCAGCGTGCTCTCGCGCTTCTGGGTCATGCGGTGGTTCGTGATGCCGTGGCTCGCCATGGAGAACGTCTTCCGCTTGACGAGCGCGTTCGTCGCGCGGCGGTCGTAGAAGGTCTGGTTCACGTCCGTGCGGCGCTGGCGCTGGTGCGCGGCGGCCGTGCCCTGGGCCTCGTCCATGAGGACGGCCTCGGCGTGGTCCTCCTCGCGGATGTTCCAGTCGGCCCGGACGAAGGCGCGGCGCGCGCGGACGCGCTTCTTGCGGACGATGACGGAGTGCGGGTGGAGTCGCGTGTCCGGCATGGAATCGTAGGCGAAGGGCCTGTGTGGAATTCAAATCTTCAACCCGACTTCAATGTGAGCGTATGCGACAGTTTCGACGCAATCTCTTCGGCCGTGCTTCGAGAACTCGACGAGAGCAATCGATTCGTCCAAAAATCAGCCGAATCGACTTCGATTTGACCGAGCTAGAGAATTCTCAAGTTTGGTCAGGACCACCCAAACCAGTGGGTGAATTCCACACAGCGAAGGGCGTCGGCAGGTCGTCGACGAGCTCCGGGTAGCACTGGAGCTGGTCCTTGGGCGCGATGGAGAGCTTGAGCGCGACCTGGTGCGCCGACGGCGCGCCCTTGACGTTGGGCCGGAACTGGTGCGTCTGGTCGCCCGGGTGGCGGAAGGGGAGCATCGTCACCAAACGGTCCGTCGTCTCCTCCGCGTCGAAGAGGCTGTTGCGGTCCGCGACGTTCTTGGCGTCGGGCGTCGGCGGCCGCTTGCCCGGCGACGCCGGCGTCTGCCGGTCGCGCTTCGGCGAGGTCGACCCGCGGGGCCGGCCCTTGCCGCGCGGCGACGGGCTCGACGGCGGCGGGCCCGGCGGCCGCCGCGGCGCGCCCGACTCTTCGTCGTCGCCCGACGGAACGTCGCTGTCGTCGTCGTCGTCGGACGCCGGCGCCCCCAACACGAGCGGCGGGGGCTTCGCCGCGGACGCGCGGCGGCTCGTGTCGCGGCCCGACGCGCGCTGCTTCAACCGGTGCGCGAGGTGCGCGGACCGGTAGGCCATCGCGCGCCGCGCCTCGGCTTTTTGTTTTTCCGCGAGGTCGTCCTGCGCCTTCTTCAGCACCGCGGGCACCTTCTCCTCGGCCTTGGCGCGGTTCGCCTCGGCGCCCATGAACAAGGCGACGCGCTTCGACACGGCCGTGCCGTTGTGCCGCGCGGGCTCGCGGCGGCTCGCCTCGACGCGGTCGCGGTTCGACGCCCGCGGCGACGCCGCGAGCACGTCCTCCACCAAATTCGACCGGAAGTTCTTCCACATCTCCTGCGTCACGAGCATGTCGCGGATCGCCGCCGCCGTCGGCAGCGTGAGCACCCACTCGGACACGTCCTTCGTGAAGGGCGCGTTCGTCGTGATTAAAGAGTGGAAGAGGTAGCGCGAGATCCAGCCCACCTCCGTGCGCATCGTCGTCAGCACCGTGCAGCCGTGCCTGTGTGGATTCCAACCGCTGGTTTGGGTGGTCCTGACCAAACTTGAGAATTCTCTAGCTCGGTCACATCGACGTCGATTCGGCTGATTTTTGGACGGATCGATCGCTCTCGTCGAGTTCTCGACGCACGGCAGAAAGCCTCGCGTCGGCACCGTCGCATACGCTCACATTGAAGTCGGGTCGAAGATTTGGAATTCCGCGCCGAGCCGCGCTTCTGGCCGAAGAACGTCGCGTCGCTCCAGTCCGTCATCGGGTTGCTCGGCGACTCGTAGGCCGCGTTGAGCATGGCCAGCTCCAGCACGATGCCCCCGGGGCCCACGGTGCAGAGGCCCAGCTGCTTCGACTTGGAGATGGAGTGGCGGTCCCGCGTCGACTTGTAGAGGAGCCGCCGCAGCGCGCGCCGCGACGCCGCGGCCGCGATCTCCGCGAAGAACTCCGCGCGCAACCGCTCCCGGCGCTCCGCCTCCGTCTCCGCGGGCCCGAGGCCGTCCTGGGACACGTGGACGGACTCGCCCTCGTCGTCGCTCTCGCTCTCCTCCTCGGAGATCGCCGAAGCGTCCGACGCGCGGCGGCCGGTCTCGCGCGTGCCCCGCGACGTCCGGCTCCCGCCGTCGAACGACGCGCCGGGCCCCCGCTTCCCGTAGCGCTCCGTGCACGTCGACGACGCGACGTCGTCCTCGGGCACCTCCTTGAGCAGGGCGACCTCGCCGCGGAGGAGCACGGGCACGTAGCGCATGCCGTCGAACATCTCGCCCTCGTTCCAGAGGTGCTCGCCTGGGCGGGAAGAGGGTGCTTCCCTCAGGCTCCTCTCTCGGTCGATGTCCGCTCGTTTCGGCCGATTTTGGGACGGGCGATCATCTCTCGGAGCGGTCTCGACGCGTGGATCCTTTCCTCTGGAACGATCGCGCGCGGAACATTCAAGTTGAAGCGAACTCGAATCACGGCCCCGGGCGCTCGCCCGCGTGGAACGTCTGGAAGAACGTGCGCTTCACCATCTCCTCCATGTCGACCTGGCGCAGCTGGCGCAGCGCCGGCGACCGCTGGAGCGTCGTGACCTTGCGGTTGTGGTCGTGGTTCTTGTCGTTGTGGCGCAGCAATTCGTTGTAGTCCTCGAGCTCGATCCGCAGCAATTCCGACGCCTCCGCGGACGTCACCGTGGCGTTGCGGAAGCCCTCCTCGCGCAGCGCGACCTCGCCGATGGTGTTGCCGCACTTGGACATGCCCACGTTGTGGCTCTTGCCGTCCTTGCCCTTGACGCAGAGGGAGAAGCGGCCCGCGAGCACGAAGTACATGCAATCGCCGCGGTCGCCCTCGCGCATGAGGTCGACGCCGCCCCAGGGGATGGTCACGAGCTTCAAAGCGCGGCACAGCTTCAGGAGCATGTCGCGGTCGCTCAACAGCAGGTGGAAGGAGCCCACGGTCTCCAGCAAAGGCCGCAGCTTGTCGCAGTCCTCGTCGGACCGCTCGTCGGGGTCCATGTTGAAGACGGAGCGGAACGTGTCGTAGCCGGGGATCTTGTGCTCGTCCTTGAGCGAGAACTGCATCACCGAAAAGCGCGCCTCCGTCGCCTTGCGGTCCGCGCCGGGCGTCGCGTGGATCTCCATGCTGCCCCTCTTGAGAGAGAACGCACGCTGCCGCCACGGTGCCGCACCGTCGTAACCGACGGGGCCGACGGTGCACCCTGAAGATTTAGTGCTCGTCGACGGCCCAAGGCGAGGCGTTGGCGCTCGCGCCCCGGTCATAGAGGGCAGCAGCCCCCGCCTCCGAAACCATGGACGACGAGGTCGGCGTCGCGTCGGACCCCTGCAGCGCCATCGGCTCGCGCAACGCGAAGCACACGGGCAACACGGAGACCCTGTACATGTGCGGCAAGAACATCGGCTGGCTCGAGGGCTTCGACAAGTTCCCGAACCTCAAGTACCTCTGGCTGAGCCGCAACAAGCTGCGGCGCCTCGACGGTCTGGAGGCGAACTTCCGGATCCACTGCCTCTACGCGGGCCACAACCGCGTCGCGTCGCTCGAGGGGTCGTCCGTCGGGCGTTTACTCCACGTCGAGGAGCTCATCCTCAACGACAACCGGCTCGAGGACTTGAAGACCCACGTCGACATCCTGCAGCGGCTCCGGCGGCTGAAAAGATTGGACCTCTACAACAACCCGCTGGCGGAGGAGACGAGCTACCGGCTCCACGTCATCAAGGCGATGCCCTGGCTGGAAGTGCTGGACCAGATGAAGATCACGCCCGAGGAGCGCGCCAAGGCGAAGAAGGTGCGGCGCGCGTCCTTCGACCTCGGCGCGGCGGCGGCGAGCGCCGCCGAGGCGCCGCCCGGCGACCGGCGGCCGTCGTCGGACTCGCGCGCGGATCGCCCCGCGGACCGGACGTCGCTCGACAGCGCGCCGGGCGAGGGCGTCCCGGCGTTGACCATGGCGCCGCCGGGCGTCGACGACGTCATGGGCACCGTCAAGCGCCGCATCCGCGAGAAGCGGATCCTCCTGCGGCCGCACTGGGCCGAGGTCGACCGCAGGGCAGGAAAAGAATGATTCAACGTCGCTTCAACGTGAGTGTTCCGCGCGCGATTGTTCCAGAGAAAGGATCCACGCGTCGAGAGCGCTCCAAGAGATGATCGTTCGTCCAAAAATGAGCCGAAACGACTGGAAAACGACCGAGATATGAGCCTCCAAAGTTGGGAATCTCGCACTCTTTTCCTGCCCAGGTCGACCGGCGGCGGTTAGGGTACGTCTCCGGCGAGCTCTTCAAGTCCGTGCTCGTGCGCTACGCTCTCTGGCCCGACGTCGGCGGCGGCGAACTCCTGGAAAAATACGCCTTCTCCGAGAAGCGGTCGCGGCCGAACCGGGAGCTCGCGTCTTCGAAAGCCGTACCCGCGACGACGACCACCAGCGGCGGGTCGCGCGTCGACTACCTCCGCTTCTGCCGCGACGTCGAGCCTTCCGGGAACCAGGGCCGCGATGTGCTCATCCGCGAGGCCATCCTCGCGAGCTCCTGGCGCGAGCCCATCCCCGACGTCAGCGTCTGCGCGAGGCTGGCGCAGGCGCGCGCGCGGAAGATCGAGGCGCGCGTCGCCGCCGAGGAGGAGGCCGCGCGCGTCAAGATGCTCCAGCAGAACAAGGAGGGGCTCGCGGCGCCGCGCGGGTCGACGCCGGGCGAGCCGGGGACCTTCTCCGAGAAGCGCCAGTACCGCAAGTGCCTCGACACCTTCGCCCAGTTCGTCGCGCCGGACGTCGCCGGCGCGCCCGTGGCCAACACGGCGCGCGGCCGGACGTCCTACGACCGCGGCGCGCCCGCGGACAGCCTCAGCCGCCGCGCGCGGCCGCCGCCCGTGCCCCACGTCCGCACGTTCCAGCTCTAATTGCACCTAGGCGCCGTAGTTCGACGCCTGGCGGTCGAAGGCCTTGAGGGCCCGGGCCGCCCACCGCGCGCGCTCGTCGTCGTCCGTGGGCAGCGCGCGCGCGCGCCAGTAGGCGACGGCGGCGTCGTCGCCCAATTTCGCGTGGCACATGCAGATGCCGCTGAGCGCGCCGAAGTGGTGCGGCTTCAGCGCCAGGACCCGCTCGCAGAGCTCGACGCTCTCCGCGAAGTCACCCGTGAGGTACTTCAGCGTCGCGAGCCGGTTCAGCGGCTCGGGCCAGTCCGGGTGGACCTCGACCAGCTCCGCGGCCGCCTGCGACGCGTCCTCCCAGCAGGCCTCGCCGCTCCCGATCATCAGGTCGATCTCTTCCAACGCCTCCTTGTTCTTCGCGCCCCGCTCGCTGAACCAGAGGCTCCAGAGACTCGTCACCGCGGCGCCGAACGCTTCCGGGTCCCGCGCGCGCCCGAGCGCCTCGATGTGCGCGCGCTCCTCCGCGCGCCGCCGCTTCGCCGTGCCGGACATGGCCACGGGCTCGGACCGCTCCACGGGCCGCTCGGCGCCGTCGGCGGCGCCCGCCAGCATGAGGCGCTCCAGCGACGCGCGCGCCGCCGCGGCGTCGTCGTCGCTCAGCGGCGCGGCGGCGTCGTCGTTGTCGGCTTCCGCGGCGCGCAACGGGCGCGCGCGCGGTCGCGCCGGCGCGACCAAGAAACCGGAGGCGGAGCCGCCGAGGGCGACGAGCGTGAGAAGCCGCCGGAGAGCCATTGCCGCGGCGTGGCTCACTGCAGCTGAGCGGCACCCACGACGTCAACATGCGCTCCGCGCGGTCGCGATCGCGGTTAGCCCCCCCCGCGGGCGTCGTTGGGCGGCGTGCCGACGTTGATGCGGCTCCAGATCTCGCCGTCGGCCATGCGCGCGAGCGCATATAGGAAATGAGCCGTAGTGATTATAATTGCCCAACGTATATACCATAAACGATGCGAGCCATTCGTTTAAAGGCCTGCATCTCCTTCAATACAAGCTGTGCGCTCAGAGCCATCAATGTCCCGGAGTTCATCATAGATTGTGAAGTTTATTCCGTCATGGGTTAGTTTTGCATATGGCCGTCGCGCGCGGGTCGAGGACGTTGTGGACGTCGCGCGCGGCGTCCGGGTCGTGGCCGTCGTCGCCCGGGTACACGCCGCTGCGCTGGCTCTCGCGGCGGTGGGGCCCGACCGTGTTTTTCCGCTGCGGGTAGACGCCCTGCTTCTGGGAGCCGCGGCGGTGCGGGCCGACGTGCTTGCCCCAGAAGTTGGACTTCCGCGTCGCGAGATCCGTCACGGACGCGCGGCCGCCGGCCTTCTCCGCGCGGTGGCTCCGGAGCAGCTGCTCGTAGGCCGCCTCCTCGGGCGTCATGTGCGTCGCGTAGTCCACGGGGCCCTGGCCCTCGCGCGCGTGGCCGTGCGCGAACCACGTCAATTGGATCCGCCGCGCGGCGAACTTGCGGTACGGGTTCCGCGCGTCCAATTTCCGCAGCGACGCGGGGTCGTTGGTCATCAGCGCGCGGAACGACGGCGGCGCGACGGCGTCGAGCACCGTGCGCGCGTCGGAGTCGGCGCAGATCGTCGCGTTCGACCGGAGCTTTTTGGCTTCGTTTGCGTCGAGGTACTTGAACTTCCGCAGCAGCTCCCACTTCGCGTCGCCCGCGGACGCGAGACGCCACTTGAAGGGGTTCGCCATGAGCTTCGGCAGGCACGCGTTCGCGACGAGGGACCGACCGACGGCGCCCAGCGCCGCGGGGTCCGGGCCGACGCCGTCGATGTCCAACCGGCAGAGCCGCAGCGTCAGGAGCGACGTGTTCCGCCGCACGCCCTCGAGGAGCTTCCGGGCCGGGTCCGCGCGGTACGCGAGGGACAGGTCCGCCGCGTCCTCGCCGACGAACGCGCGCGCGTTGCCGCTGAGGTCCAGCGCCGTGATCGACGTCGCCGTCGGCAGGCAGTCGATGAGATCGAAGAGCGACGCGCGCGGGACGTCGAGGTCGCACAAATCCACGTCCGTGAGCGCGCGGCTCAGGCACAGCGCGGCGCCGACGTGGCGGCAGCACCGCGCGCCGCAGCCCCCGTTGCCGCCGAGGCGGAGGTGGCGGAGGCCCGCGACGCCCTCGCGCGACGCCGCCAAGAGCGCCTCGCTCGCCTCGTCGCCGAAGCCCGCGTTCCGCGACACGTCGAGCGCCGTCAGCGCGCCGTGGTGGCGCACGGCCTGGGCGAAGATCTCGAAGCCGGCGTCCGTCGGCACGCCCGCGGCCGACGTGCACAGGTAGTTGTCCGACACGTCCAGCACCTCCAGCGCCTCGAGCCCGGGCCCGGCGAGCATCTCCGCGAGGAAGCGCGCGCCCTCGTGGTGGAGCTCGTTGCGGCTCAGGTTGAGGTGGCGGAGCGTGCCCGCGCCCCGATCCACTCTTCGCATGCACTTCACGAGCTCCTTCATGCCGAGCATGCGGTGCCCCCCGACGCCCAGCAGCGTGTTCCCGGAGAGGTCGAGGTGGACCAGGGCGTGGCCGAAGCGCGTGCCGAAGCGGTCCCGCAGGCACTCGGCGAAGCGCGCGAGGCCCAGCTGCGACCGCACCTGGGCAGCAAAAGGGTGCGACATGCCCAACTTCAAAGGCTCCGATCTCGGCCGTTTTCCGCTCGTTTCGGCTGATTTTTGGACGAGCGATCATCTCTCGGAGCGCTCTCGACGCGTGGATGCTGTTTCCGGCACGCGCGCGCGCGGCACACTCACGTTGAAGCGACGTTGAATCACCCTTGTGCTGCCCCGGACCGCACGCCCAGGTCGTTGTCCGCGACGGACAGCCCCGAGAAGCCCCACTCGCTGTTCCGCAGGATGTTCTCCGCGACGAAGACCGTGAGGGGCGGCGCCGGGCAGTAGTGGCCCGACCCCCGCGCGTCGCGCCAGCGGCCCGCGACCTCCTCGACGCCGAGCGTGCCGAGCCGGTTCCCTCCGAGATCGATGGACGCGTCGTCGTAGCCGTCGCCGTCGTCGAAGAGCGTGCACAGGTCGTCTAAACCCTGGAGCGCGCCGTCGCCCGTCTCGCTCTGGCCGATGCGCCCGTGGTTCTGCAGGTCCAACCGCTTCTCCTCCGGGAGCACGGTCCACGTCGCCTCGTAGGCCGCGTAGCGCGCGCCGTCGTCGACGATGACCACGGTCTCGTCGAGGGCGCAGTCCTCGAAGCTCGGCTCGTCCCACTCGTCGCCCTCGATGGACGCGCCCCGCGACGAGTAGACCGTCTTCTGCCAGGCCATCGTCGTCGGGGCAGCCCCCGCGCGGCGGCGCCTAGACCGCGCTGCCGAGGGCACCGTCGACTTCACGACGCGCACGGTTGCACCGCAACCTTTACGACGCGCGCGCGCCGACGCGCTCGTCGTCGTTGGACGCGACGAGCGTCGTGACGTCGTCGACGAGGAGGGCCGCGCCGTCGACGAGCGCGTCGGCGAGGAGCGGGTCGAAGGTCGCCGACCGGAAGGCCGCGAGGTCCGCCGCGGCGTCGAAGACGAGGGCGAAGGCGAGGCGCGACCCGCCCGCGAAGGGCTTCGACACGGCGACGGCGCCGCAGCCGTCGCGCCGCGCCGCCGCGGCGAGGCCCGCGGCGACGGCGTCGAGCGCGGCCGCCCTGTTCGGCGCCGCCTCGACCTCGCCGAGCCAGAGCGCGCCGCCGGCCGGCGGGTCCGCCTTCGCGGCCTTGAGGCGGCAGGGCGCGTCGACGGCGTAGGTCGACGTCCCGTGGCGCAGCGCGGGCGACGCGTCGAGAAACATGCGCGCGTACTCGGAGTATCGTCCCTCGTCGGCGAAGAGCGCCGCGGCGGCGTAGCGGCCCGTGGCGTCGTCGCGGCCGACGGCGATCCACCGCCAGCCGTCGGCCTGGGCCTCGAAGTCGCCGAGCGTCGCGCCCAACGCCTCGGAAAAGGCCGCGGCGTCGCCGTCGTTCGGCGCCCAGCCTAAAAGCGCGAGGCGCCGGTCGGGGAGCCAGCCCTCGCCGTCGCGCGCGCCCGTGTCCCACAGACTCGTCGCGAGCATGTCGAGGAAGCGCTTCGTGCCCGGCGCCGACGGCGCGTGCGCGGACAGCAGCGCCGCGTCCATGCGCCTACTTTTCGCCGCGGCGTCGACGCGGTCGAAGAACTCGCAGACGTCGCCGTGGGGCCGCGCCTTGCGCGCGTTGCCCAGGAGCACGCGCACGCGCGGCGGCTTGGACGCGCCGGCGGGGAAGAGCGCGTCGTAGCGCGCCTCCGCGCCCGCGAGCGACCGCTCGTCGTCTGGGTCGAAGACGCAGACGACCGCGTCGGCCCGCGCCAGGAGCGCCGCGTCGTTGCCGAAGGCCGGCGGCGACGCCAGGTCCCAGAGCCGCAGGGCGCAGGGGGGGCGGCCGGGCACCGCGACGACGCGCGCGCCGACGCCGACGGCGCCCGGAGGGCGGAGCCGCCCGGACGACCGGTCGCCGTCGACCTCGGCGTCTTCGTCGACGGGCTCGGCGCCGACGAGGCTCCGCACGAGGGACGTCGCGCCGGCCTGGGCGACGCCCGCGACGATGAGGACGTGGAAGTCGGGCACGGCCGGCCGGTCGTCCTTTTTCCAGTGGTCCGCCCGCTCCCACGCGAAGCGCCGCTCGCCGCGCGCCGCGACGGCCTCGGCGAGCGCGAGGTGCTGCGCGAGGGCCAGGGGATAGATGAGGCCCTTCAGGGCCTCCCGGGGGCCGCCGGGCAGGCCGTAGCGGTCCGCGAGCGCGCGGCGCTGCCACACCGTCGCCGCCGCCGCGGAGCAGGGCCCCAGCGGCGCGCTCGCGACGCAGAGATCGAGGCCCTGCCGCGTGAAGTTGAGGGGCGGGATGGTCGGCTCCCCGGCGCTCGCGAGGGTGGCGACCTTGCCGAGGGCGAGGCAGGGGCAGGCGCAGGCGTAGCGCGCGGCCTCCCAGCCTTCGACGTCGACCCAGTCCCAGTCGTCGAAGCGCGACCGCCGCGCCGGGCCCCGGTCCATGGCCTCGGCGGCGACGGGGAAGAGGTCCGGCGAAACATGCTCGTAGCGGGGCCAGCCCATGGTTAGCTGCCCATCATGTCCGGCAGTGTCGACCTCGGGCTTCGTTGAAGGCGCGATGGTGCCGGGGCAGCCGTGAATGCTGCGGCGTGCCGTCGCCGCGCTGGTCGCCGCGTGCGCCGCGGCCGGCGACGCCCGGCACCACGACGCCTACGTGGCGTCGCTGGTCGAGCGCTGCGAGCCGCCGCGCGTCGGGCTCCGCGCCTGGGCGCTGCGCGAGCTCCGCGAGGCGAGCCGCGGCCCGGCGCGCGCCGCGATCCCGCGGCTCGCCTGCGCGCTCGACGCCTGCTTCGACGCGCCGGGCGGGCCGGGCGCCTGCGCGCTCCTGCCGCTCGAGGCCTTCGAGCTCCGGCTCGCCGCGGCGCGCGCCGCGCTCGCGCCGCGCGCCTCCGCGGACGCCGCGCCGTCGACGCTCGCCGCGCCGCTGCTGCTCGACTGCGTGCTCGGCGCCTTCCGCGAGCCGGCCCTGCGCGCGGCGGCGCGCCTCTTCCTGGGGCTCGCGCTCGGGCGCCGCGGCGATTTGGCCGGCGCGGCGCGCGAGTACCGGTCCGCGCGCGTCGACGCCGCGGCCGCGGCCGACCGCGGAAACGGCGCCGGGCCGGGCCTCGTCGACGCCGTCGACGTCCAGCTCGGCGCGGTCCTCGTCGCCGCCGGCGGCGACGGCCGCGACGAGGGGCTCGCGCTGCTCCGGCGCGTCGCGAAGCCGGCGGCGAACGCGACCGCCGCGGCGCCGCGGGCCGTCGTCGGCTTCGTGCTCGCGCGCCTCGATTGGGTGGCGACGCCGCGGCCCGGGGATTGGGCCGCGGCGCGCTACGGCGGGCCGCCGGCGGACGAGGCCGCGCGGCTCGGGCCGCTCGATAGCCTCGGCGCCGCGGACCACGCGGCGCTCGGCGCGGCGCTCTGGCGCCGGGGCTTCGGCGTCGCGGCGCGGCGCCACTTCGACCTGGCCCTGGCCCTCGGCGACCCGCTCGGCGCCGCGCGCGCGCTGCTCCTCGCGGAGCCCGTGCCCGCGGGCCGGCGCTGGCTCGCGGCGCGCCTCGCGGCGCTCCGCGCGGGCCTCGACGGCGCGCGGCGCGGCGGCGCGGTGTACCGCTGCGGCGACGCCTTCGGCGCGGGCGGCGACGGGCCCTGCGCGCCGCGGACCTGCGACCTCGCGGACGTCGCGCGCGCGCTCGAGGGCGCGCCGCGGCTCCAGGAGCTCGCGCGGTCGCCCGACGACGACGTCGACGACCTCTTCGCGCACCCGTCGGTGGCGCGGGAGGCGCCGCTCCTCGCGCGCGCCGTCGCGTTCGTGCTCCGCGAGTGCCCGCCGGCGGGCTACGGCGAGGCCGCCGCCGCGCCGCGGCCCGCGACGGCGCGCGGCGCCAAGGTCCGCGTGGGCTTCCTGTCGTCGCGGTTCCGGCGCGGGCCCGTCGCGCGCGTGGCCGTCTCCGCCGCGCGGGCGCTGACGCGTCGCCGTCGTTCGTGACGGTGGCGTGCTGCTTCGCGACGGCGCCGTCCGACGACTGGACCGCGGTCGCCTACGGCGCCTTCGAGGAGCACGCGCCGCTGCCCGCCGACTTCGCCGGCGCGCGCGACGCGCTGCTGGCCGCGGACCTCGACGTTTTGGTCTTCGTCGACGCGCCGCGCGACGCGCGCGCGGCGGTCCTCGCGGCGGCCGGCGCGCCGCGCTTCGCGCGCGTCCAGGTCGCGCTCCTCTGGCCCCACTTTGCCCTGTCGCCGGCGCTGCCGGGTTTGGACTACTACGTGTTGCCGGAGGCGCTCGGACACGAGGGGGACGTCGCCGCGGGCTTCGCGGAGCAGGTGGTGTTGGTCGCCGGCCTCGGCCACGCGCTCGTCCCCGACCCCGAGTCCGCGGCGCCGCGGCCGCGGCCGCGGCCGCGGCCGGGCCCGCGCTTCGTCGTGCCCGCGCCGCTGAGCGCGCTGCTCCACCCGGACGCCGACGGCGCCGTCGCGAAGCTCCTCGCGGCGAACGCGACGGTGGTGGTCGCGGCGGCGCGGACCAAGGCGGAAGGCTACGGCGCGGACGAGTTCGACGACGCCGCGGCGCACGCGGCGCCCGAGGCCGTCGCGGCGGTGCTGCGGCGGCGGCTCTGCGCGGGGCTGTCGGCGGTCGCCTGCGGCCGCCTCGAGCTGCGGGCGCCGCTGCGGCGGAGCGCGCTCGTCGCGGTCGCCTCCGCCGCGGACGCCGTGTTGGACTGCTGGCCCGCGTCGCGGCTCGACACGCTGCTCGTCGCGGCGGAGGCCGGCGCGCCCGTCGTCGCGCGGCGCCGGGGCCACCGGCCGGGCTTCGCCTTCGCGCGCGACCTGCTCCCGGCGGGCGCCGCGGTCTTCGGCGACGGCGAGGACGGGGTGGTCGACGCGGCGCTCGCGCTCGCGCGCGACCCGGCCGCGCGCGCGGCGGCGGCGGCGGCGATGCGGCGCGCGCCGGCGGCGCTCGCGGGGCGCGAGGGCGCCGGCGACCTCGCCGCCTTCCTCCTCCGCGCCGCGGGCGCGGACGCCGTCGCCGCGGCGCCGCGGCCGCGCGGCGCGGCCGCGGCCGCGGCCGCCGCGGCCGCCGCGGCCGCGGTCGCGGTCGCCGCGCGCCTCGCGCGGCGGGAGAAGGGGAAAGCGGGGAGGCGGAGGAAGCGTAAGAGTCGGTGAGGTTTAGCACGTGGCACGACGTCGACCGGTGCAACTTTTAATGCAACTTCCGGTGCATGTTGCACATCGCAGTCGATGTTGCCACTGATGCTGATGGGCGCTCTCCTGCTCCTCCTCGGCCTCGCCTCTGCGGCGCGGCCCGCGAATCGCCGGGTGCAGAAGCCGCGGACGCGGCCGCGCGGCGAGACGCCGCTGGAGAAGAGCGCCCGCCTCGACGTCCTCGCCGAGGCCGAGCTTTCTGCTGCGCTCGACGCGCCCTTTGCATGGAGAAGAACGTCGAACGACGCGCACGCGATCCTCGAGGTCTTCGGCTGCGAGGACTGGCGGCGGCCGCCGGCCTACGACCGGCCCGGCTTCGACGTCGCGGGCCGCGACGTCCTCGACGTCGGCGCGCAGGTCGGGACCTTCGCGCGCCGGGCGCTCGCCGCGGGCGCGGCCTCCGTCGCCGCCTTCGAGCCCGAGCCGGCGAACGCGCGGCTCCTCCGCGAGAACCTCCGCGAGTTCCCGACGGCCGCCGTCTTCGAGGCCGCGGTCGTCGGCGCCGAAGGGGTCGACGAGGTGGAGCTCGTCCTCGGCAAGGACTACCAGGGCGTGGCCAACACGTGGCGCCACTCGCTCCGGGCATGGACGCACTACTCCGGCGATGTGGACGTCGCGACGGTCGCCGCGCTCTCCTTCGGCGCCGCGGTCGACCGCGCCGCCGCCGCCGCGGGCCGGCCGCCGACGTTCTGCAAGATCGACGTCGAAGGCGCGGAGCTCGACATCCTCGCCGCCGTCGACGACTGGCGCGACCTGGATAGGTTGGTCGTGGAGTACTCGTTCACGAAGCGGAGGTCCCTCGCGGCGTTCCGCGACGCCGCGGACCGGCTCCGCCGCCACTTCCCGACGGTGGAGTGCGACCGGCTGCCGGACGCGGGGGACGAGTGGCCCCACCGCACGGACGCGCTCGTCTTCTGCAGCCGGTAAGGTAGGGTCGTTTAGCCATCACGCGGCCGCCTTGGCCGCGCGGAGGTCGCGGTGGTGCGCGGCGAGCCGCGCCCGGTGTGGCTCGAGCGCGGCCAGCAGCATGGCGCCGTGCGCCGCGAGCTTCTTCGCGCCCATGCCGTAGCAGGACGCGAGGTCGTCGAGGGACCGGTCGGCAGGTCGTCATGCAGGTCGTAGGGGCCGCGAAGGTACCTGCAACATGCCATATTGACGCAGCGGCATCCGAGGTCGTCTCGGCCTCCTGCTGCTCGAGCTCCACGCTCTCCTTCGTAGCGCTGTCTAGACGGAGGACCCGCCCGTCGTGCCCGCGTGAGCGCCCACGCAAAGACCGTGAAAACAACACCATGGCAGAGCTCCCGCCCGCGGCGGACGCCCCTGCGGCGGAAGTCCAGGGGCTCAACCCGGCATTCAAATTCCTCCTGCTCGAGAAGAACGCCGCCGTGGGCGTGGTGACGGTCGCAACCGCCGAGGATCTTGTGAATTTAAACGAGAAGCAGCTTTGCGTCATCGATGACGCCTTATTCGACGAGGTCGATACGTCGAACAAGCGCCGGAGACCGTCATCGAGCTGGTGCGCCGATATCGCGTCCCAGGGCTACCCGCTCGTCGACGGCAAGCCGTTGAGCATTTGGGTTGGCGCCGTCGCCGCGGAGTGCAAGAAGCGAGGATGGGAGGGTTTTCGGGACTCCAAAGGTAAGCGGAAGAAGCGGAAGACGGCGTCGAATGAGAAAGTCTTCAGCGACGCGGGTTTGAAGCGGCACGTCGAAGCGGGCGAGGACCGCGAGGACGGCCGGCGAACGGCAAAGGATGGTAGCGCCGCGGCCTCCGACGACTACCGCGCGCGCCTAATGCAGCTCCAGCGGATTTATTTCGAGAAGGAGTGGAAACAGGACGGCGGCGCGCGCGGCTACCAGACGAAAGTGGAGATGCTGAAGGCGCATCGCCTCTTCTGCAACCCGCAGATAGGAACGATGCGCTGCAACGTCTGCGACATCGACGTGCGAAAGCGCGGCGGCCGCGTCTTTGAACATTATTTCCGTGTTCTCGATGACGGCTCCATCGAGTACTACGCGCGGGGGTTCCCGTGCTGCGGCGCCTGCAACACGAGCATCATCAAGGACGCCACGGACCTCGGCTGGGACAAGCTGGAGTCGGCCGTCGCGAAGCAGGCGGCGCGCGAGTGGGCCGTCTCGGTCATCGACATCCTCAAGGGCGAGTAGGCCTAGCATCCCACTAAATTACGAACGCCCTCGGGTGGCGCCCCCGAAAACACGCGCTGACCACGGTGGCCGCGCGGTCCGCGCCCTGGAGCGCGCCGAGCGCGTCGACGTCTGCGGCGCGGCAGCGAGCCGATCGAGAAGGACGCAACGGAGCGCCGCGTCCTTTTTTTTGGACAAGTCCAGCTAGCGCGATCCAGCGAAGACCGTCGCGCGTGCGTCGCACCGTCATGGACCTCGCTTCCATGTCAGCTGCGGAGCTCGCGGCGCTGGCAGAGCAGGTCCGCGCGGCGCGCGAGGCGCTCGAGGCGCGCGACGCCCACGCGGCGCAGGAGGCCCAGGAGGCGCCGGCGGACGCCGCCGACGACGAGGACGATGCCGACGTCGAGGTCGCGGGCATCGCCGACGCGCGGACGAACGCGACGTCCCTCCAGATCGACGGCTCCTCGCGGCCCGGGTCGCAGCTGTCGCAGCTGACGACCGTGTCCTCGGGCGCGCTATCCGAGTCCGAGGACGACATGGACCTGGACGCGCGGTTTGTCCCAAGGGAGAAGCCCATCCACGACAACGAGGTCACGCTCACGGAGGGCAAGAAGTACGGCACCATCTTATACCCCGCGGAGGTCGACTACGGCCACCTCGAGAACGGGATGTGCAAGGCCCCGGTCATGTGCGTGGGGTACATGCCGTTCCAGCAGTTCAACCCGAGGGACGGCAGCGGCGAGAAACGGGTCGCCGTCCACAACTCTCTCCTCTTCCAGCCCGGCGACCGGAAGCCCAAGGAGTTCGTGGGGACCTACGAGGACCTCGCGCGGCTCTGGGCCGCGGGCGTCGAGACGTCGGTCCTGACGAAGCTGCGACGAGGCTGCGTCTTCAGCTGGGTGCCGTCCGACCCGGCGCCGGCCTGGGTGACGGAGCGGCTTGGATTGCACGGCGACGACACCTTCGAGTACCTGATGCTCTGCTTCGCGCTCAACGTGCGACCTTGGATTCCCTTCATGGGCATCATGTTCCGCGAGTGGACGCGCTGGCTCGCGGAGATGTGGAAATCGAAAAAAGGAGCACCCCGCGCCCGCGCCATCTCCAACTTCAACGAGCGCTGCCTCGAGATCGCGCGGGGCCAAGGCCCCCGGGCCCCGCCGGGACGTCCCCCGCCTTCGCAGAGCTGCATCATCCCCGGCTGCAAGTTCGCGGGGTCCGAGCTCGACCACCGCGCGTGCACGCGCAAGGCCACCGGCGCCATGTGCCCGCACCACAACACGGGCATCGCGACGGCCTACGAGGCGCTCGGCGCGCGCCGCGCGATCGCGATGGCGGAGCGCTCCGTCGGCCACGTCAAGAGCGTGGGCGAGCGCTTCGCCGTCGCCCGCGGCGAGGGCGAAGAGCCGCAGCCCACGGGCCCGCAGGGCGGCTTCTACTAGGCTGGTCGTAAGTATCACCGTAGGCGCTGAGGACGGCTAGCGCTATGGGCTTGTGCACAGCGTCAAAAACACACCAACTGTGCATCATCGACTTGAGATCGATTAGTGAAGCGATAGTGAAGCGTCTGTTTCCACCGCCGACGCCCCGGAGTTCCACGCCGTCGTGTCGTCGGCGTCCGCGGCGTCGTCGGGCCCGCCGCGATGGGCTGCGACGCCCCCCCGCCCGAGGGCAAGGTCGCCTACCGGTCCGTCGTCTGCGGAATTTGCGTCGAAACGACGTGCCTCGTGTTCAGCTTCGCGGCGCTGGCCTTCGGCCTCGGCTTCCCGGGGCTGCGCGCGGCGGCGTCGCTTTCCGTGACGTCGGGCATCGTCGCGCTGTCGACGGTCGCGAGCTACCCGTGCTGCTGCGTCCACGGCGGCCGCGGGGCCTTCAAGGCCTTCCTCGGGCTGAGCCTCGTCTTCTGCTTCGTCGCGTTCGCCGTCGCCGTCGCCGTCGACGAGACGCCCTGCGTGCGCAAGGAGTGCTTCCAGCTGACGGTGACGGACCAGTGCGTCCGGTGCCCGGACGAGGGCAAGGACGAGCGAGACGGCGGCGTCGATGATTTTAAAGAAAATAGGTCAAGTCCGAGCCTCCGGGCCGTGACGACTTCATCGAGAGTTTTTGATGAGGCGCGGTCGCGACGCTCCGCCCCGACCTAGGTGCGACCCGGACCTGTGCTACGAGTGCGCCCACGCCATCGGCGACATCTTCGGCGACGACACGCGGTGCGACAACGTCAACTGGTGCTCGAACTGGGACCCCGACTGCTCCAAGTCGGGCAACGAGGACGACCACTGGTTCTACGGCTTCGAGAGTCTCGACGACTGCGAGGACTACCACGACGTGCCCTTCCGCAAGGGGCTCTGCGTGTCGCTCCTGGTGGTCGCGTCGCTGTTCTCGGGCGCGTCGCGCCTCGCGTCGGGCTACCTCGTCCACGCCAGGGCAGGAAACGAGTGCTTCAAGTTAGCTTCAACATGAGTGTTCCGCGCGCGATTGTTACAGAGAAAGCATCCACGCGTCGAGAGCGCTCCGAGAGATGATCGCTCGTCCAAGAATTAGCCGAAACGAGTGGAAATCGACCGAGATATGAGCCTCCAAAGTTGGGAATTTCACTCTCTTTTCCTGCCCAGGTCCACGTCGCGCCCGAATCGAACGGCGCCATCGGCGTCGCCGCGAGCGTCCAGCCCGCGGCCGTGCCCGTCGTGTCCGCCGTGGAGCTCGCGGGCACGGACGGCCCCGCGGTCGTCGCGGGCGCGGCCGCCGTCATGGTCCCGAGCCAGCCCGCGCACCTCGAGGGCCACGCGCCGCCCGACGACCCCGGGGCGGCGAAGCTCCTCTAATTCGCAGCACAGCCCGACACCTCCATGGCGTCCGCGCCCTCCCGGCAGAGGCCGTGGAGGAACACGTCCATGAGCGCGGCGCACGTCGGCGGCCGGTAGTGCATCCCGTCCTGCGCGCCCTCGGGCCGGCTCGCCGTCGGGAGCCAGGCGTCGACGAAGTCCCACTGCAGGGGCTCGAGGTGGGCCCGGAGCACGTCGGAGAAGACGCGGCTCCGGTTGTAGGTCACATAGGGCTCCCGGAAGCCGTGGACCGCGACGCCGCCGAACTGGACCAAATGCGTCCGGATCTTCGGCTTGTCGCAGTGGAGGCGGTCGAAGGCGGCCCGCGTGAAGGGTCTGAGCGTCCGCTTCGCGTCCGCGACGGTCTTGGACCACTGGACGTGCTGCACGCCGAAGTTCGACAGGACGACGCCGAGCTTGCCGTCGCCGACGTGCGCCGAGAGCACGCGCAGCAAATTCTTCAGCGCCTTGCCGTCGTTGGACATGGTCATGGAGAGGGACATGACCTTGACGCCCGCGTCGGCGGCGACCTTGTCCGGCGGCGCGTTCGGCGCGCCGCCGAGCTTCTCGTAGAACCTGGGCAGGATAAGGGTGATTCAACGTCGCTTCAACGTGAGTGTTTTGCGCGCGCGCGTTCCGGAAAAAACATCCACGCTTCGAGACCGTTCCGAGAGATGATCGCTCGTCCAAGAATTAGCCAAAACGAGTGGAAAACGGCCGAGATATGAGCCTTTGAAGTTGGGAATTTCGCTCTCTTGTCCTGCCCTGCGTAGAACGCGGGCGTGCAGCCCTGGATCACCGAGTCGCCGCTGAGGAAGACGACGTCGACGCCGCGCCGCTCCAGGCACGCCTTGACGTCGTCGGGCGCGTATCGTTCGTAGGCGCAGTCGTGGGGCCGCCAGGCGTACTCGAAGTCCCAGTCCGCGTCGGATTTCTTCGTCCGGTCGCGCCGCCGCTCGAGGCCCTTGAGCCGCTCGCACTCGCCGTCGCAGGGCCCCCGGACCCAGCGGCCCGGCGCGGCGCCCGACGCGCAGGGCGCCGTCGGCGTTGCCGGCGCCGCGCCGACGACCTCCAACGCCAGCGGGCTGCCGAGCGCGCGCGCCTGGCCGCGGCACGCGTTGGATCGGAGCCGCGCGGGCCACGCGCCGCGCGCGTTCGTGAGGCCGCCTAAATGCTTGACGACGCGCTCGTCCTTGCGGCTCCCGGACTCGCCACCGTCATTTTTGTCCGTGCCCTTCACGCTTTTGTAGAACGTGCACTGGGGCGGCTTGCCGGGCTTGCGCTGCGTCCAGAACGCGCACTCGTCGTAGAGCATGCACCGATCGCCGCAGAGCATGAAGGGCGACCCCCGCTTCAGGTCCCCGCCGGCGGCGTTCTGCCAGTCGAACTGTTCGCCGCGCCAGCCCCGGCCGCGCTGGACCTTGACGGCGTCGTAGTGGGGCGTTTTCGGCTCCTCGTCGCCGCGGAGCCACGTATTCAAAACGTCGACGGCGTAGGCGCCCGGGAGCAGGCCGCGGCGGAACGTGGCCGTCCAGGCGCAGGTTTCCGCGCTCGGGACGACGTCGGCGACCTCGATGGAGGGGCCGTAGGCTCTTACCCAAATTTCCAAAGCGGACGGGTCGCACCAGCGGAGGTCGCGCGTGCCGTTCGTCGTGTAGGAGTCGAACCAGGGGTACGCGTCGACCGCTTCCTTCACGTCGCAGCCCTTGACCGTGATCGTCAGCGGTCTTCCGGCCTCGGGCGACGCCGGCGCCTCGGCGACGAGCGCGAGGCCGTACTTGGACAGCAAGTAGGACCGGCTCACGGGCAGCCCGCATTTCAGCGCCGCCGGCTCGCCGAGGAGGTAGTCTTCGCCGATGGACACCTCGCAGGTCCGCGGCAGGGCCGCGGCCGTGGCCGCGAAGAGCACGGCGAGTCGTCGGGCGCGGCGGCGCGGCGGCACCATCGTCGTCACCATCGTCGCGAAATCGTCGCTTCGGGTCCGCCGTGCCCTTCAAATGCTGTTAGTGAAGTACAAGGTTTAAAGTTGAAGACTGGCGGTAGCCCGCCGGCGGGATATGTAACGCATGGGGACTTGGGGGGACCGCCGGCGCCGCGCGCGACGGCGCGCGCGCGTCCGTTCACGCACGGATCGGCGCCGGGGCCGGCGCGACACTTGGTGCGACGACGCGCGCGGCGTCGACGGCGGCGACGCGGCCGTCGAGCCGCAAGAAGGCGCCCTCGCGGAGGACGACGCGTCCCGCCGCGAAGCCCGGGAGGCCCGCGAGCGCGGCGACGACGGCCTCCGTGCCGAAGAACGCGTGGCTCGCGACGGCGTCGCCCTCGACGCCGTGCGCGAGCGCGAGGACGGCGGCGCCGCTGGGGGTAGAGTAGGCCGCGTTTCGCCCCGCGAAGAGGAGGGAGATCAGCGCGTCGCAGGGGACGCGCGCCTCGGCGCCGAGGTCCGCGGGGAACGCCCAGGCGCCGCCGGCGCGGACCGGGTGCCAGGGCGTGAGCGCGACGTCGGGGCCGACGCGGACGAGGTCCGCGAAGCCGCGCTCGACGGCCGTCGCGACGACGCACTGCACCGTCGCGGGCCCGCCGGTCGCGTCGAGGAGCACGTCGCCCGCGACGACGGCGTCCGCGCGGAGCGGCGCGCGGTCGCCGTAGCGCACGACGAGCGAGCCGCCGGACACGCAGCCGTTGCAGCGCGAGTTGTACGCGCTCGACATGTCGCGCGGCCCGGCCCGGCCCTGCTTCGACGGCTTCGGCGCCGGCAGCTTCGCGAAGGCCGCGTCGGCCACCGCGAGGAGCGTCGACGCCGGCGCGCCGAAGTAGGTGTCGACGGACGCGTCCTTGAAGTTGTGGCGCGTGGCGGTTTCGTGCGCGCTCCGCAGCGACCGCACATAGTGCGCGCCCCAGCGGTCGAAGAAGGCGTCGCGCGAGCACGCGATGCGGATCTGCGACTCGAGGTCGACGACGTAGGACGCGAGCCGCGCCGCGTCGCCGTCGACGTCGGGCCCGTCGAGGAGGCCGTAGGCCGCGATCTCGCCGGCGGCGTCGGGCCCGACGAGGTCCGGGAGGGCCGCGCGCGACGCCGCCTTCGACGGCCGCGACGCGACGGCGTCGGCCCAGGCCGCCGTCCAGGCCGCGACGCGCCGCATCTCCCGGAGCGCGTCGCTCCCGTCTTTCGCGCGGTCCGCCGCCGCGGCGCCCGCGCCGTCGGCCGCCGCGAGGGCCTCGCCGAGGCCGTGCGCGGCGGCGAGGCGCGCGCGCGCCGCGGCGGCGGTCGCGGCGGCGGCGGCGGCGCAGGTCCCGCGGTCGGGCGCGCCGAGGACCTCGGCCATCGACGCGCGGAAGCGCTCGACGCGCGCCGCGCGGCCGGCGGCGGGCGACGCCGCGGCGGCGGCGACGTCGCGCAGCGCGGCGAGCGTGGACCGCCGCCCGCCCCGCGTGCCGACGACCTCGACGACGGCGACGACGGCCGCGGCCGTCGCCGCGGACGACCGCAGGGACGCGACGAGGTGGTTGAACGACGTGCCGACCATGCCCGCGTCGGGCACGAAGGAGAAGAGCCCGCCGCCCTCGCGCGCGAGCGACAGGAGCAGGTCGCTCCGCAGCGCGTAGCCAAAGCCCGCGGCGAAGACCGCGACGGTCTCGGACCCGTCCTTCGTCAGCCGCTTCGCCCGCAGCGCGGCGACCTCGCCCTCGGGCGGCGAGTTGTTGGGTACGCCGTCGGTCAGCAACAACACGGCGCGCGCGTTGTCGCCCGCGCCGCCGACGAGCTCGTCCACACCGAGCTCGAGGCCGCCCCAGAGGTTCGTCGACGTCCCGGGCGCGAGCTTCTCGAGCGCCGCGTGGACCTTCGCGACGTGCGCCGGCGTCACGCGCGCGAGGCCGACGACGACGCGCGCCTGCGCGTCGTAGGCGACGAGCCCGAGGCGGCACGTGTCGTCGAGGGAGCAGGCGACGCAGCGCGCCGCGTGCTTGCAGACGTCGAGCGTCGAGAAGCCGTGGCGCTGGACGTTGCCGGCGGCGTCCTGGACCTCACTTTCCGTGGCCATGGAGCCGGAGACGTCGAGGACGATCTCGATGTCGACGCCGCTCCTCTGGGCACCGCCGGACGTGTGCACCTCGACCATGGCTTCGCCGCCGCCGAGGTCGACGAGGCGCAGGTCGAAGGCGTCCGGGGCGGCGGGCATGGCGCCGAACTCGTTGACGACGGACGGCATGGTGCGCTTTGGGTTTGCTTTGGGCAGCCCATCGCGGTGCTTCCGGAAGCTTCAGCGCTCGGTCCTCGAATGTTCGGAATTTTGCGGGGGGCTATCTCCTGCAGCCCGTCGGGCCCGTTGGCCTATCGGACCTTCCAATAGAGGACATTCATCGAAGGGCGACCTGCTGCGCGTCCTCTCGTACGTGACGAAGGATGGAGAACACAACCAGGAGATGAGCGACGTCGCGCTCTTCAAGAAGGCCGCGGACCAGCCTGAGGCGCTCAGGCCGCTCAGGCTTGTGGACACGTGTCGCGTCGGCTCCCGGCGCATGTTCGCCGAAGCCCGGCAGATGCATCGCTCCTCCGTTGTGTCGCCGCGGCGGAGGTTGTAGTGCGCCGCGGACGCGTCGTCGTCCGCGCGCGGCCCGTGTTGGAACAACCCATGGCGTTCTTTCGCGCCCATCGGTTGCCCTCGCATGACGTGCGGAGGCCACGGGCGCCGGGCAGGTTGGCCTTAGGCTTGAAGTCCTTGATGGACTCGCCGACGCCGCACTGCTGAGGACTCCGATAAATCTTTTCAACTCAGCCACCTGTACTTCGATGAATGAGGCTCGCGGCGCTCGAGCTCCAGGGCCAGCCAGTGCAGGCGCCCTGGGAGAGCGACGGTTGCTACTACCAGGGCACCGTGCGACGCCCAGTCCCTCCCGGGCAGCTTTGCAAAGCCCGAGACCTGGGACGTCTACTCCTACGACGACGTCGCCCGACGCGTTTCTAGGTCGACGCGGGCTACCCCGACTCGGACCGCCCCCGAGACACGAGGGAAAACATGCGCCTTACGCCCCCCGCGCCGTCTCCGCGAGGTCCGGGTTCGGCCGCGCGACGACCATGTAGGTCGTCCCGAAGTGGAAGCGGCGCACGGACTCGACGACGAGGCCCGCGTCCGCCATGACCGCGCCGTAGTCCCTGTTCCAGGAGCAGCCCCAGCGCAACAAATGGCGCTCGGCGTACCGGTCCAACAGGTTGTTGAGCCAGGCGTAGTGGCCCCGGCCGTGCTCCAACAGGAGGATCGCGCCGTCGCGCTTCGTCGCGCGCTGCATCGCCTTGAGCGCCGCGACGGGGTCGTCGACGGAGCAGAGGCCGAAGGTGTCGACGACCGTGTCGTAGCAGCCCGTCAACTCCTCGACGGCGCAGCGCCGGAGCGCGAACCGGCCGTCCGCGGGGAGCTTTGTCGCGGCGACGCGGAGCATGTCCTCGGACGCGTCCGTGGCCGTGATCGACGTCGCGGCGGCCGGGTACTTGCCCAGGTTCGCGCCCGTGCCCGCGGCGACCTCCAACACGTCGCCGCGCGCGCTCCGCAGGAGCCACCAGCGCAGCAGCGGCACGCCCATGACGATTTCGTCGCGGCCGACCTGGGCAGGACAAGGGTGCAAAATTCCCAACTTCAAAGGCTCCTAGCTCGGCCGGTTTCCACTCGTTTCGGCTGATTTTTGGACGAGCGATCATCTCTCGGAACGGTCTCGAAGCGTGGGTGCTTTTTTCCGGAACGCGCGCGCGCGGAACACTCACGTTGAAGCGACGTTGAATCACCCTTGTGCTGCCCTGCGGCCGACCGTCACGTCGTAGTCGCCGCTCAGCGCGTCGAACGTCGCGACGCGGCAGGCGCAGGAGCAGGCCGGCGCCGCGTCGGCGGGCGCCTCCGGCGCGTTCGCCGCGCTCGCGACCCAGGCGCAGGCGACGCCGGCGCCGAAGAGGCCGCCGCCGCCGACGGCGACGACTACGGCGCCGGGCCAGGTGAGCTCGCGGGCCGCGCCGGACGCCGGCGGCGCGCGCGGCGCCGGGCCGCCGCCGCGCTTGGCGCGGTAGCCGCCGCGGGCCAGGAAGCGCCGCGACGGCTGATTTCGCAGCGCTTGGCGCAGTGACGAGGCGCGCATATGCATGCTCTCTCCACAAAAAGGCACCATTGACCAAGTTATTGAAGGGGGTGCGCACCCGAAGACCCCGCCCGGAGGCTCAGACGGAGGCGTAGCCGGGGGGTTGGCGTTCCCACACCGGCCCCTTCCTCCGACCCAAAGATCGCGCGTGCACTCGGATCGGAGGTGTGGCGGCGGTACACTCGCGCCAAGCCTGGCACCGACCGCCACGCCGAGAGCACGCCGGGATTGGCGCAAGGCAGTAGCATCCTGAGTCGCCTCATTCAGACGACACTCAACGGACTCTCCGTGGACCGGGGGAGGTTGAGAACGAAGGCACCCGCACCCGACGGGCAGGACGTCCGGCTCGACTAGGCCGATTCAACCTCAGGACCACAAGTGGCTAGCCGAGGGCACCGCCGAAGAGGACACCCGTAGTCAGCGGGACCGAAGAGAGCAAAGACGCCGACGCCGACGGAACCGCACAGAGCGCCACGCTACGAGGAGACGCTGCAGAATGCAGAGAAACGAATGGACACGGGCACATCGAAGCCCGCACACCGAAGCCACCGAGGGCGCCGACCCCACCAGCTCCCTCCGAGACTCACGTCGAAGGCATCCGAACGAAGCGAGCGCGCGCGGCAGCCCCCCGGGCCCATGGGCGACGTCGCGCCGATGGCCAAGCCCTGCAAGTCCTCGCGCTCGGCGCCCCGCTGCCCAATCGACGCGCGCAGCGGGGTGCTCCGCCCCGGGCGCCCACCGGAGCCGACGCGGCGGGCCCCACCACCGGCCGCTGCGCGAAACCACCTCCGCGCACCCCGGAGGACCGCCCCATAAGCTTCGGCGTTATCATGTTGAGTTACCATTGTCGATTGGTTGATGATGCCTTGAAGACGGAGGGGCTGCCTCTCCTATTGGCCTCTCGCCGCGTTTCGAATGATGATGGGTCGTCGCGCCATGGTCGTCCTCTGCGCCGTGGCCGAGGCCGCGCGCGTCGTGACGCCCGACGGTCCCGTCGTCGGCTTCGCCAAGGGTGGTTTTGACGCCTTCCTCGGGCTGCCCTTCGCCGCGCCGCCGGTCGGCGACCTGCGCTTCCGCGCCCCGCAGCGCCCGGCGAACTGGACGGCGGACCGGCCCGCGGTGACCATGGGCGCCAGCTGCCTCCAGCCCGGGTCCCGCGCCGTCGGCGGCAGCAAGGGCTGGCCGTCCATCGATGTTGATGATAGTTCCGAGGACTGTCTTTTTGTTAACGTCTGGGCTCCGACGGACCGCTCCACGCCGCTCCCCGTGCTCGTCTACCTCCACAGCGGCGAGTTCCGCTACGGCTCGGCGAACGACGTCGAGAGCCGCTGGCCGTCCTTCGGCGCCGGCGGCGATAGCGAACCCGTGATTCTCGTCGCGGCGAACTCGCGGATCGGGTTTCTCGGCTACGCCGCGCACGAGACCCTGGACGCGAACGCGGGCCTCCTCGACCAGACGTTCGCCCTCGAGTGGGTCCAGCGGACCATCGGCGCCTTCGGCGGCGACCCGACGCGCGTGACCATCTTCGGCGAGAGCTCCGGCGGCACGTGCGTCGGCTACCACGTTACAGCGGAACGGTCCAAGGGCCTGTTCGCGCGCGCCATCCTCGAGTCGCCGGGCCTCACGCAGACGTCCTCCTACGCCGACGCCGCCGCGAACCTCGAGTTCGCCGCCGCCGCCGCCGCCGCCGCGGGCGCGAAGGCCTGCGCCTGGTCGAAAAATTGGACGACGTACCCCGGCTACGCGGCTCACAGGGCAGCAAAAGAGAGCGACATTCCCAACTTCAAAGGCTCCGATCTCGGCCGTTTTCCACTCGTTTCGGCTGATCTTTGGACGAGCGATCGTCTCTCGGAACGGTCTCGAAGCGTGAATGCTTTCTCTGGAACGCGCGCGCGCGGAACACTCACTTTGAAGCGACGTTGAATCACTCTTTTGCTGCCCAGGTGGCTCAAGCGCGCGAGAAGAACGCGACGTTAAAGTGGACGGCGCTGCCGAGCTCGCTCTCCGCCGCCGAGGCCGGGGCCGCCGCCCGCGAGGCCTGCGAGCAGGACGACCGGTGCTTCGCGACGTTCGTGCGGAGCGACGCGGGCAGCGGCGAGTGGGTCGCGGAGCTCTTCGGCGGCGCGCTCGCGTCGTCCGTCGCGCTCCGGCGCTACGGCGGAACGACGAGCGACTTCTTCGCCGACGTGCGCCGGCCCGACGGCGCGTCCTTCGCCGCGTGCCTGCGGAGCGCGGACGCGGCGGATCTGGTGCGCGCCGCGGACGGCGCGCCCTTTGGGGACACGTTCAAGGACGACGCCGTCGCGCCGTTCGTCGACGGGACGCTGCTCGCGAAGCCGCTGAGCGAGCTCGTGCGGTCCGCGCCGCTCAACGTCGACTCGCTCCTCGGCGGGTCGAACAAGGACGAGGGCACGGAGTTCATGGACGTCGCGGCGAAGATGGCCTGCGACGGCGGCGCGGTCGATCTCGCGAAATGGGCGGCGGAGATGTACGGCGGCGATTTGGGCCGGGCCGTGCCCTGGCTCTACACGGAGGCGGCGCTCGACCTGCCGGCGCCGAAGTGCCGCGACGCGGACGATCCCACGGGCAACGGCACGTCCTGGGCGTGGCGGTCCGCGATGCGCTGCGCGGGCGACGGCGCGATCCTCTGCCGCGTCCGCGACCTGCTGCGCCGCGGCGGCGAGCGCGCCTACTGGTACGAGTTCCGCGTCGTGCCGTCGTACAGCGTCAACGACGGGTCGATATGCAATTCCTGGGCTCGTTCCACGGCGCGGAGGTGCCCTTCGTCTTCGGAGACGCGTTCGAGCTCCGGTCCGACGCGGAAAAAAAGGTCGCCGCGGCCATGGGCTGCTACTGGACGTCCTTCGCCGCGTTTGGCGACCCCAACGGCGCCCCCTGCGCGAAGGACCTCCCCGCCTGGCCGACCGCGGCGACGAACAACCTCCTGGCCTTCGGCGGCAACGCGACGACGAACGCGACGCGCATCTTCGTCCGCGAGGACCCCAAGGCCGACGCCTGCGCGACCTTCGCGAAGTACCCCTGAGCGCTTAGGACCCCGCGGCGAGGCCGGCCTTCTCCTGGGCCCGCTCCGCGCGCCGGTACTCGATGAGCCGCTCGACGGCGAGGTCCGCGGAGTGGGCCCGCTCCTGGGCCTCCGCGATCTTCGCGTCGAGGAGCGCCCGCTCGTCCTCCTTGCGCACCGTGGCCTCGGCGAGGTCCGCGCGCGCCGTCTCCTCGACGAGGACGGCCGCCTCGAGCGCCGTCGCGGCCGCCGCGGCCGCGTCCGCCGCCGCGTCGACGTAGGCCGGCCGCTCGCCGCGGTCCCAGGGCCCCGCGTCCTTCGCGTTGCCCCGGAGCCGCGCCACGAGGTCCGCGGGGAACGCGTCCGGGTCGTCGACGACGTCCGCGAGCCGCGGGAACGCGGCGGCCGCGGCGACGATGCCGCGCGTCGTCCGCTCGCGCTCGTCGGCGTCGGCCCGCGCGTCGGCGGCCGCGCGCGCGTCGTAGGCCGCGAAGAGCGCGTCGGCCGCGGCCGCGCGCGCGCCCGCGGCCGCGGCCGCCGCGGCCGCCGCGTCCGACTCCGCGGCGGCCGCGGCCGCGTCCGACGCCGCGGCGGCCGCGCGCGCGGCCGCGAGCG